GTAGCCAAGTCAATGGCGTCGGGCACATATATATCGTGCCATTTCCGTCCGCCTCTTCACGTCTACGTTCTTTCCTCGCCGTTTCGAGGGCAAGGGTAAGGCTTTACACGCCTAGAACCATCGTCCCTGCCCTACACTAGACTATTATACACCTGGCAATAGGTCTAGACTAGTTGGTATATTCTGTAGGCCAAGTCATGGGTTCGAATCCCATGGGTTCGAATCCCGGCGTAAGCGAGCTTTTTTTCTTGCAAAGTGAGTTTTTTCTCTCGCTTCCTCCGCTCCTGGCGTACCTAGTGGATAGCACTAGTTCGTGTGCACACAGAGGGAAGAGAGTGCTGAACTCTTCTCGCATTAAAAATCGAAGGCAAAGTACCGCAGGAGGAGGGGAGGGTAGAGAGGGGCTCTTCTGTGTGACCACGGGTTGGAGTAAACGGCACTATTATAGTAGTGCTGTGAGCGCTGATTTGAAGCGAAGACAAAAAAAAAAAAAAGGTCGGGTCCGTTATCTGTACCGCTGCGCTCCCGTTCACAGGGGTTTGCCACTCACGTGGTGCGACAGTTCCAGTCGGGTGGGGCGTTGTTGTGTGCGAAGGAATCACTCCCTTGCCCTGCTCTGCTGCACTGCTGCTCTGTTGCCCTTCTCTGTTGCGTGCTCCAGTCCCCCCGCCTCCTCGTCAAGGGGAATATGGGAATATAGGTACATACAGTGTGGTGGTGTGCAGGTGTATTCCACCGCATTCACACTCTGTGGAAGATGACAATAAAGAGCGACGCTCTTTATTGTCATCTTCCTAGAGGCAGTCACCGTAGATGCCTGTGTAGAAGAGTCTTCAGTCAGATCTCAAGAACTTTCTGTGGGCTGTAATTTTTACACCACGGCACACGTGCACACTCTCACTTTGCGACACTGCGACCAGCGACTGCTGCCGCTGTGGCAGCCGCCTAGCCGCCTCTCTAGCTCTCTAGTCTCTACGAGTCTTCACCTGCGGCGGTAAATGAAGGCCTCGGATGCGACGAGATTCATTGCTACGCTTACGAGCCACTCCAATGTGCCGGTACTCCCCCTGCTTGCGCAAGGGCTCGACTCCCTTGTGCGGACTGCTGAAAACTGCAAGAACGACGAGCAACTCCATGAACTCGGAGAGGAGACCAAAACATGGGAAGGAAACTTGGACCGGCTCGCTGGCTTGCTAGAGGTAGGTCCATCCTGTTGTTACTTATCGTAGGCTGTCTGCATACAATCATCAATGATGGACAGGTTTAGGGACACTCTCACCGAGAGCGATCCATGTGATCTGAGGTGTGGGACTGCCTTTTGCGAATCCGGCGCCGCAGGCGGGCGGAGAAAAGCGTTTCGGGCTGGGCTGCAGCGCTGCAGCAGTGTGTGTGTGTGTTCGTTAGTGTTCGTGTCCGTCCCATCTACTCTATCCACGCATATCTTTGTTGGTGTCTGCTGTGCTACACATTTCTGTGTACAATGCTACTGCTGTTGTCCTACTTCCCTCGTGCATTTTTGGTGTACAACAACAACCAGGCAGGATGATTTTTTTTTTATTGTTTTTTTCTATACACACGTAGCCAACTCGGCTACCCTGTAGTGTGGAATGGGGGGTGCCTGGTCGGCGAGAACCCGACACTGAACCCTCCGGCATTGTAGGCGGGTGTGGGAAGCCTTAGGCTTGCCGTTCTTTCCTCTCCTTCGCTGGCGCAAGACTTTTTTTTCTTTTTCTTTTTTTAACATTTTTTTCTCCGCGTGAGCCGCTGTTCAGCAGTTGCTCCGCACGTACGCAAGATTGGGGCCCAGTGCAGTGTCGCAGGGCGCGCACGTACCTTATTTTCGCGTGGTTTCATTGCGTCGTCGAGTGTACCCAGTTTTAGTTTGTGACCACGGGCTCCCATGGATGTTTTGGGCTAAAGAGCTAATATTGACAATTCGGACTAAAAACTTCTCAACACTGATCTTGAGTTAAGCCGTCGTTCTGAGGATCGTTCCCGACAGTCACGCCAGAACCCACAACAAGAAACAAGAGTCCGGCTTAACCCTCCTATTACTGGAAGCCCAAATGGAGACACTTTGGGGACACAGCACTCAAATGCCTATTACGGCACTGTAGTCACCCTAGGCTCCGCTCTGTGCAACGCACGTGAGAACCCTTGGCCTACTGTATCGTGCCTGGCTGAGGTGGTACCCTCTGTGTGATATGCTGTGTGATGAATCTCCTGGGCCTCTGACTTGCTATACACATCTCCCAACCCGCGTGCCCCCTAGGTCGTGTAACTTTACATCGCCTGGTACTGGAAAAAGTTGCTGACTTGGCGGCAGTATGAAAATTGTCCCCACGTGTTTTGGGGACACTTGTCCCCACGTGTTTTGGGGACACTTTTCATATTGAAGCCAAGTCACCCTTTGTCTGGCAAGGAGCTTAGGTTCTTTGGAGGGACTAGAGCCCCTCGACCAATGGCTGACAAACAAATTCAAATTTGCGACACATGTTTTTGCGGAGGGACTGGGTACTAGGAGGGTTCAGAGCGGAGGGAGGGTCATTTTTGTGGAAAATTGTTCACCATTATTTCTGTAGTAACTTTCTTCGAAGTCATACCAGACACACCAGGCACCACCCACACGTTCCTGACCGTCTGCTGAACATATCCGCGCGGGAGGCTGCATGGTCAGCCAAGTTGGATTTTTTAAGTCAGCAAAACACGCCCGCCCGTCAGGTTGAGGCACGGGGGAAGAAGAGCCCCGAACCGCGGAGACAATGACGACCAACGACGTAGAGGTGGCGGCAGCACCTCGAGCAAAGAAGAAGAGCAGAGAGGAGGAAGAGTACGAAAGTGGCCTCCTGGTGAAGACGGGCGCGTCTGTCCCTGCGCAAGAGTGTTTTCTCTGCTTTCTAGAAAGAAGAGGATTTGACTTGGGTGTTCCCCACTCCCAAAACCCTTTCCCGAACGCTTGGAATGCGACATAGCACGTCATTCAGAGGCTGCCGGCCAGTGTAATAAAAAATACTTCCTGAATCCGTACTGGTGGTGCGACGTGTGCTGGGGTTGAGGGAGCGACACAGTACAGACACACACATCTAGCACGCACGCACGCACACTCAACAGCAGTGAGTGGGAGCGCTGACATCAGGGTGCAGCTCTGTCACGCAGCGCACCACGAAAATAGTCAGCAGTACCTGCCGACAGGGGAAGCTCTTTGGGTGGGATTAGGAGGAGACTGTTGCCCCACAACTGCAGATTATACCTGTACAACGCGGACACCTGCTTCGAGCAAAACGGGTGCTCGAAAGTACTGGGCCAGACACTCGTATTATCGACGTAGACTACATACGTACTGGTAGAGATTCAGCACATCCTCCGCACGAAGCCTTGGTGGTCGAGAAAAGGTACCATTTGCAACGAGGGCCAGCCGCGGTGTTCTCTCTTACTTGCACGGGGAATCTTGATCGTTGAAATTCGTGGGACCATCACGAGCGTAATCCCAACTTGTTGCTTTTTCTCGCGCTCTAGGTTCTCGTGGCAAAAGGAATCATTGGCGAAGAAGACCAACAGCGCACCATGGAAATACCAAAGAAAGCGGTGGCGGAGCTGCTGGAGGTGCGAATGTCGGAGTATTCCCTGTTGCCTTTCCCTGTTGCCGCGTTTCTTGTGCGGCCTGTAGCAACGGTCTCGTCCGTTCAGGAGCATCGAATCGCCAAAATTTTCAACGCGAACAGCGTGGGCTGTCTGCGCAACGACCCCTCCTCACATCCGTTGCGCCGTATGGCATGCCTTGGGCAAACCAGATACTTGCGGCGATTTAATGGGGTTTGTTGCTCTACGCGGAATGTGGCAGGCACCAATAGACCATGTATCGCAGCAGTGTTGCGGGTGCCAGCCGGGCTAGTCGACAGTAGAGAAAAATGCCACGTCTTCCTGATCGCTCCTTCTTCTTTTTCCAGCGTATCGACAAGTACAAGCAATCGGGGAAGATGCGAACGTATTGGCATTCAACCAGTTCGAACAAGAAACTGGTACAGGCGACGACTAAGCTACAGAGGGCTTGGATTTCACTGCTGGTGAGGATCTTTGCATGCGCGATCCGTTGTGTTTGGAGTTGCGTGCGCTCCGGCCGGTGATGGGCTGTACTTTGAGCCTACTTGAGACGTCGCGAGCGCGACGCAACAGCTGCCTTAAACACCCACACACTGCGCTGTTAAGTTTGGTTGTCTCGGAATGGTGTTCGAAAACATGCAACGAGGGCTTTCGCGCTTCGAACGGTGCTAAATACGACGCGCAGTTCAAACTCTAGGGTTCTAGCTTTCCGTATCACGCCTGCAGCTGGTGCGTGTGTCTGTTTTCACGTTGTCGTAGTTGGAAGCTGCGGTGGAAGGGCGAAGATGTTTCTGCATATCATACTCTGTACCACTGCTGTATCGCTAATGTTGCCTCTCTGTTGTGCAGACACCGCTATTTGGGTACATCCTCTCGGCTTTGCTACACATAGCAGAGAGACAAGATCAGGTGGCCAAGAACGGGGACGACATTCTGAAGCTCTTGGAACTCGTGAGCGTCGAAGTGGGGGTCAAAAGCGGTGCCATGTCCAAGGATGCCCTAAAGTCCGAGGTGGCGAGGATGAAGAAAAACTTGGACAACCTGAACGCCGTAAAAATCAAGCCAACGGACGTCAGCGAGGCGACCAAACGACTCCACAAGTCTGCGTCCTGCACCATATCGGTTGTAAAATACCGTGGCGAACCGGCCGTGTCGAAGACCTTCACACTTCAGCAGTCTGGAGGGTGGTCTGACAAGGCCCGCAAGGCCTGCTTCCGCGAGCTAGACGCCTTGGGTCACATGTCATCCCATTACGTCGTCCAGGTGTATGGGTTGATCAAGGACTACATGCCCGACAAGCTCGTGCTGGTCATGGAGTATCTGCAAGAAGGGGACCTGAGGAATCGTCTGAACAAAGAGCAACCTCTGGAACCGAAAACCAGGCAACGGATCATGCTCGATATCGCCCGTGGCATGAGGCATCTGCACCGTAACGGGGTACCGCACGGGCACCTCACATCAAGCAACGTACTGCTTGCCGGAGAAGGACAGGACCTTCGCGCTAAGGTGACGGTGTTTGTAAGGAAACCGAGGGCGCCAGCCAATATTCAACTATGATAGGATGCCTATCTGTGATACAAGAGGCGAGAATAAGGTGGCTTTGGTGCGCCGAACATATGATCAGCGTCCTTTGCGAAAGTGAGGCGGTCAATGTGACGTTGGACGGCCAGTTTGTTGCGTTACCGCCCCACGCGAAGGTTATACACGTTTCTCCCGAGGTTGCCGCGTGCTTGTTCCTGGATGGAATGTGCATATTCAGAGTGTACCCGTTTAGGTTGTACTCGCACAAAGATTCGACATACATGTGGAACGCAATTCTGGTCATCCACGCGGCCCTTTAGAGTCTTACAATTGCGGCCGATGTTGATGAACTTTTCCCGCCAAATCATGAGCACTACCTCCGCCTTTCGCCCGTCCTATGGCAAAGTTTGGTATTGCAGAAACGACCAAAAGTGATGATGCGACGCTTGGAATCGGCAAACAAAGCGTTGTACACTGATATGACATTGAATCATCTAGTTGGCTGGTGGAAGGGCGGTGCAAAAAGGATGCCAAAATAAATATCTGTGCTTCGTATGGTGCGGAAACATCATGACGACCAAACCCAGCGTACCGATGCCCGATGCTGACACCTTCTCTCGGTACGTGCGTTGCCCATCCTATGTGCTCTCAACTGCGATCCCTAGATCAGCGACTTTGGCATGGCGGACATGGCAAATGCCATTACGACGAGTGGTCTGTCCAGAATCCTGGCCACACCCAGCTTCCGATGGCGTCCCCCTGAGCAATTCAACGTGGAGATCCAACAGCACACGCCTGGCGACTTCATGAAAGGAGATGTGTACAGGTATGCGATAATGTCACCACGGCCTGGCATTGCGGGTAGCTGGTGACTGTTCTCGGTCCTTTTATTGTTGCTCCGAGGGCTAGAAGGGGGGTGAACTGGTTCAAATTCTGTGTGTACACCAACCAGATTTGCAGTGTATGAAGTAGGATGAGCGCGGAACATTGTTTTTTTTTTTCTTCTTTCGAATGGCCTTTTCTTTTGCTTTCTCGAGCCCGAAGGAAGAGGGAGAGACGATCCTAGCTGAGACACTCAAACGCCAAACATGATCTGGACCTATCTTACTGCGTCTCTACTCATCGATACTTTGGCTCTCTCTCCTAAACTGACAACCGGGTGTGGAGAACTCCTACCTTCCATGTACGTACGTAAGCAACATTTATCACGTAGACGAGTCCCCAAACATTGTTCTTCCATGTCCTACGCCAATATCGTGGTCGAACGTGAGTCTGCTGCTTACAATGACACTCGATTCTGCATGTGTCTGCCCCACATCGTTCCCTCCCCCAGCTTCCTATAATAGACTGTTCTTTTTTCTTGCCTCCGCGTGTATCTACGTGATATCGGCTATTTCGCGGGCGCCCAAAAACTTGTTTCCCTCCCAACGGCCGAGAGTCCAGGGGGGGGGAAAGGGAGGCGACCATTTATCGCTTATATGTCCTTCAGATACTCCTTCTGTCACGCGTTCGGCCACCGCTCCGCCGTACCAGACCACAAAAACCTTCGCCGGTTTTCCAGAGAAGAACCCAAAAAAACACGAGCATTTTCGAAACACCCCCAGCCAACTGCCCTCCCCCACATGAGTTTGCTGTGATAAAAAATCCCAGGCTGCTGTGCGAAAGCTCTGCGCATAGCACAACTTACCAGCAACGGACCTCTGCGAACGTGTGTAGGGGCGCGGGTAGTTGTTATATGCTGCTGCTGCTGCTGCTGCTGCTGCTGCTGCTGCTGCTGCTGCTGCTGCTGCTGCGACGGACCAGGCACCGCACACGACCCCAATAGACCGTTGACTGAAACACGCTTTTCTTGTTTATTTGTAGATGTGAGGGAAGAGAGTGCCAACCTCTTCTCGCGTAAAAAATGATGGGCAAGGCAAGTCGACGGGAGGGCGGGTGTGGGAGCCTCAGGGACAGGGGCCCTTCTGTGTGACCGCGGATCAGGTCATCGGCAGAAATGCCGACAGAGTCTGGTTGATATGATCAGAAAAACATAAAATCTAACCTATAGTCTAGAGTGCTCCGCTTTTCCGTGCATAGAGTGTAGTGCTATGATCTCGAGGCCGTCGATTATTCATCTCAACTTGCGGACGCGCGGCCTGGTAGTACCCGGGTCATCCTCAACCGCACTCGGCCGTTACACAAGCTGGTCCCACTAACATTCACTCCCTCTAAATGCACCTCTTCTGCCTTGTATCTCCGCGCTCTCTAGCGTGCTGCGGCTGATGACGTGGGTCCCACGCCGCATAGGAACCATGCGTAGGTGCCATAGCTATTCTTTTTCTCCCCGGCCCCAAAACAAATCTGCCGAAAAATAAATAAGCAACAGCATATTTTTGTGTCTGCGCCTTCAATTGAACCTCCCCGTTACGTCCAGCTTCGGGGTTTCCTTTTCCATGGCGTTTGCACTGCTGTTTATCAAGCTTGTCCGGCGTTTAATTTTCGGGTAGCCGGGTATTGACAGAGGACAGAATCTCCCCCCACCCCGGTGCCAACATTTTGCTGACGGAGACTCATTCGCCTCCGCTTTATGGATCGTCCACCTTCCATCCATCCGGTTCGGCCTCCTCGTGCAGCTTCGGAGTACTATGCTGGGAAACCATCACGGATATGGAGCCATGGGACGGCGAGGGAAATACATGTAAAGCCGTTGGGAACGCGGTCATGAAGGGCAAACGCCTCGATATTCCTCGAAGCATCTCAACGGGTTACTCGAAGCTCATCGAAGACTGCTGGAAGGCGGATCCGAACAGTCGCCCCGATTTCGAAGACATCGAGGCGCGCCTGTTTTCCCTTTGCAACGAAAGCCTCACGGTCGACGTCAAGTGGGGCGTGAAGCGCGGTCGTCTATTGATCGCGGTGGCTGCTTTCCTGCTGCTCTTGTGTATAGCCGTGTATGCCGGCCGACAATGGGCAAGATTTTCCAGCTCGTTTCAGCACACAGAGTTGTTGTGATCGGAATACTCTTCTGTACCCGAAAACCATGCGGAAGGAATAGAGTGGCGTCCAAAATAGATGGGATGGCAACACATGTAAATGGCGGTTGAGAGAACTACCATTTTCGAAAAGGCGACCGAAGAGACCAATAGTGACGTGTTGCATGGGGCAGCGGGTTGTTTGGTCTGTCGGGGACCTTGGTCTGAGTGGGTACTGGTGTTTTAGCGTCGGTGTTTCCCTAGGCTTTCCTATTCATCGGGATTTCCAGGGCCGCAAGTGGAGGCGATTTGCCGTTAAAGCAGCTTTTGCTGTCACGCCGATGGATGACATGGTATCTAGTACGTCTTGCTGGAGGCAAACTGTTTTGTGTGTTCTTGTTGTGTGCTTGTTGGTTGTCTTCGTTATGTATTGTTTTTTTTACGAAAACACTTCCATCCACAAATAAATACAAGGATGGGTCCAGGATAATCAAGCAACGAACTCTGCATTGTTTGCGACTTCATATTAGGAAGTCTTTGTTTGGCTGCCCTTTATTGCCAAAAAGGGACAGCTGTCCAAGAAAGGTTTCGTACTGTTGTAGTTTTTTCGTGCCATCTGCTTGTCTTGGCGGTTGACACGTGGATGGGGACCCTTTCGCTGGCAGGCAGAGAGAGGGAGGGGCCGACGTGCACAAGCAGCAACATCGGCGTGTCCACATGCCTGAGACACTAAATACTTTGCCCCCCTCTGCGCCCAAGAGAGTACTCTTGCTGTGACGAAGAAAATAACTTCTTAAGTTAATCGTACCTGCCTGCCCACTTCCTTGTTCGATGGGCGGCGCAGCGCAATCCCTCCCATCTCAACGACAAGCATCACAAAACACGGCCACAGAGCAGAATGGGCGTCTATCGCATTTGTAGGTCACACACAAAACACGGAACAATTTACTGAAACATCAACTCGTCATCCTGCCGAATCGCCTCCGGGCAGCACCGCCTTAATTAACTTTACTCGTTTCAAAATACTCACGGCCCTGACAGAAAAGCTGTGCCCCCCCCACCAACACCAACAAACGGCCGTGCGTGTGCTGGTTGCCCTTCTTGGGTAATCAGCTGAAAATACGGGGAAACAGAGAAAGACACCAACCTTTTCACGAGGTGGTTTAAGCCTACAATTACTAAAGTGTGTGGACCAGATCGATCGATGGATTATTTATTTTCCACACACTACCAGACAACAACAGCAGCCACAAAACACTTGGATACTAGTACCCCTACTCGCGCAACCATTCGCCTGCCTTCGTCTTCCGCCCTTCCGCGCGATAAAAACTCCGTCGATCACGACGTCGGCGGCGTGCGTTTGTTGCAAGACTACAGGTCGCACGGCCCAACAAAATCTATCGCACTGTCGAGGGAGGTGTCCATCATAAGTTACGATTTACCCACACCAGCCAAACGCTGGCTGGGTTGCCCCCTCCCGACCTCTACACCGTAACTCGCACTTTTTACGCATGCCGTGAATGAAACCCAGCGGCGTGTTACGACCGGAGCATTCTTTAAATACCACCAGCTGAAAAAAGAAAACACCCAACATATCTACGTAAACGTACGCCTACTACGACTACGACACCAACAACAGGGGACAATCGTACACGCAATGGATCCTGAACTCACTTGGACACATGTCTACAAGAAAAAGCGTTACTGCTATAGATGCAGTCTAGTCTCGCTTCAGCAACAACAGCGAGCGGCATAACGTACAAGGGATTGCCAGCGTAGCGTTGGAAACGCCGTTGATGCCCGTTCAATCCAATCGCATGAAACACACGCACGCGCGTAAACCTCACGCGCGTTCTGGACGCGGGACCCAAACAACGTCTCCGAGCCACACGGAACAAAACTCATGCAAAGAACAAGCAGGTCATAAAACATAGTACTGTACTGTACCAGCAAAAAACAAACTACCTGTGCTTCTGTAGATCGGGGTCTAAGACGACGATGCACGGCACCATTCTTGAAGGAAAACCAAGGCAAACCATCAGGCAGGTCGCGTCGCTTGGTCTCTACGCGAAACGCCCACACCCGCGAGCTTCTTTCCCTCCCACACCCCAAAGGCGTAATCAGTCTTCTTTGCCTGGTCCGGGGGGGACCAGACAGCGCGAAAAAGGGGTCGGCGCAAAATGAATCGCAACAACGACGGACGGAACCCCACCGAAAACACACCCTCATGAACACTACAGTAGTATAATACGCTGAAAACTACAGTATCATACGTGGCCCGTTTCAAGCATTGGACTACACGAGCCGCCCATCTCACTACCCCCCCCTCCCCCACGCCATTCACCTCAATGCTCTGTTGGCCAGAACCTCCCTCCGAATCGACGTTTCGCCAAAACCTGCTAAACGCATAATGTTACTTTGATTGTGCGGGAGACCTTTTTTTCTTTTTCCGCTCTTCTTGGGTCGGGCGGCCGTTTAAAAGCATCATCAGCAGAGCCTACCGAGCCAGCGGACCGCCCTCGCGAGAAATTCAACTTTGTCAAGAAATAGAACAGGGAGGAGGGGGTACGCAGACCCCTATCTATCCCCAACCCAACTCCCTCGATCGCATGCTTCATCCAACGTGACTACTTAGTAGATTCACGACGGCTGCTGGGGACGAGCCAGCCTAACGCCGCGGCTGGAAGCTGCCTGCGGAGATTGCCGAGATTATGGAGCCCGTCTCGTCGGAGTCCTCGTCGGCGGAATCTTCGGCCGCGAAGTTGTCCGCGGCCTGAACAACCGCCCTCCGCGCAGTCTGCCGAGCAATCCGTTTGTTTTGGCGTTCACAACAAGGAGGGGAGGGAGGGAGGGGGGCAAGGGACGCTCAGTACATGGAATACAACCTCACGGAGGTAACAGGGTCACCAGTGTCGGTGGTGAGGGAGGCCGTGCCGTACTTTTCGGGTGTTCGGTCTTGTTTTTTGGTTCCCCACGGGGAGAGGCTTCGCAAGATGCCGCGGTCAAGAGAGCAAACACAAAAAAACACCGAAAAGGTTTAACCCGCAATCACTGGAGGGGCATGCCTGGCGAGGACACATTCCCAAAGGAATGCTCCCCATCCACTCCAACACTTCCGCCACGTAGGGTTCAAGTTAAATTCCCAATGAGACGGAAACATAATAGAAAAAACAACCCAAATCTACACACTAATTTGAGACTGACGTATTTCATTGTCAGCCGGTTAGCCCAGTCGAGATGCTAACAATAACGCCACACACTCTCTGCAAAAAAAAAAAAAAAGACGCGTCATCAAAGTTGCTATCGGAAACCTTGCACAGCGTGCTGCTGCACTTGTGCACCGTTAAGCGCTTCCTACTCTGCATCTAAAAAAATAAATTTTATTACCTGCACCCTTGGAGGCTGTTGTCCTGAGACCGAGAGGGGGGCCACCTCGAACTTCTTGATCCCTCGCTCGGCCGCGCCCTGGCAACGTCATGTTCATTCCCGCCGGAAAAAAACGCCCCATGACAACAAAAATGAGGAGACGCCGGTAGTTGGATAGGGGGTGGGGTAAGTAAAAGGAGAGGAGATTATTTGCGTGTTGCCGTTTGTCTTCGTGCGTGTTAATCAAAACTTCACGGCCTTCATGCAGAACAATATATTTGCTCGAGGTTACGAAGGGAGTTCGCATGGTCGCAGGCGGCATGCTGAAGCGGGACCGCTGCCCTTTCGGAGACGGCCAGTACGCCACCGGTCTCATCGCCGCGGCCGTGTGGGATGCTTGCTGCTGCACGTCTCTGCTGATGGCACGCCTCCCGGCGACTACCTCCAAGAGATACCGCAAGGAAAAATTCAACAACACACGGATTTCGATTGGGCCAACAACTACCTCTCGAACGGGTAGTCTTTCTGTGACCGCATGAACACCTTCTGAATACAGAAAAAGGAAGACACCTGTTTGGTGTTATAATAGATTTCTCGCCGAGGGAAAAGGGCTGATCTGCCTGGCAGAAAAAAAAATTATAAAGTTCCGCCGGGCGAAAACCCCAACACCTAACCACGGTCACCCAAGCCTGTATCTCGGCGCATGCAAGCATAGCACGACCCACGTACCTGCAACGCTAGCACGTCCTCGGCGTACGGCAGGGGGACTTCGGTCTCCGGGGGGACAATCCCTGTTGTACCTCTGCCCCTTGCGGTGGAGCCAGCCCCCGCCATGCCGCTAGTGTTGTGGTAGTTGTTGCCCGCGTAGGTCGCGTTGGACCGCGAAGAGGCGCCGCGCAGACCCGTCCCCGACGATGACGACAGGTGCTGGGAAGCCACCATCGCCTTGTTGTTATCGGTTCCGGGGGGAGAGGAGCAGCACGAGAGAGGCGTTGACAACGGTTAGCAGCGACGACTACAACAACATTATATAAGAACGACAAAAACAACAACAACAACAACAACAACAACAACAACAACGGCAACAGAAGAACGATAAAAAACAGCCACGTGATCGGCAGATTGCCAGGAACCCCCGTGTGTTGTGCTGGCGTGATACGCGGAGGAGCTGCCAAGCCAGCAGAAGCACTAACAGAAACAGCCTAGATGTTGCGGCAAAACAACCATTTTTTTTCTGTCTATTTGCTGCGGCTGCTCCAGCTGCTGCTGCTGTTGCAGCTAGCTCACGATTCGAGCACGGACGATTGCTTGAGCTACTCCTACGCCCCTCTACAACGCGAGACTGAGTTGAACGACACCCGAAGCCACGGCGGGATCAATAAAACGCCCTCCCCGTAACGCCTTGCATCCACAGAAGTAGACAACACGGAGTAAACAGGACTATCAATAGAACGAGTCCAGAGCACCGCATTTGAACGCACGCGCGCACAAACAACTCATTTGACCCAAGTTACCGCGGATGCAAACAGAACCAACTTCTAGACACACCTTGACCAAGATACCCCGGACGCAAACAGAACCAACTTCCAGACACACCTTGACCAAGTTACCCCGACTCTGGGCACGCTCCTTCCAGATCTCCGTGGGCACGGGGGCGGGGGGCGGCGCGGCCCCCTCCCGCGGATGCACGACGTTTTCCATCATGGAGAGCCTCGGGGCTTGAAACTGCCCCCCCCGCCCCTGCTGCTGCTGCTGCTGCTGCTGCTGCTGCTGCTGCTGCATCTCCTGATCCTCGTCGCCGGCGAAGACGAGAGTGCCCGAGGCGCCGCCCCTGGACGCGGCGCGAGACCGGGACCTCCGGTGGCGGTCGTTGGAAGGGTTCAGCAGCGAGGCCCCCGAGATGATGACGTTCTTGTCTCTCGGCTTGGAAGAGGCGTGATCTTGTCTAGCATCGCTGTTAGGGGGGGTGCAGAATGTACGCGCGTGAGATGATACGCTTCTTCTGCTTTACGAGTAACTTGATTTCAGCAGAGGGGGAGTGTACGTGCGTGAGGTGATACGCTTCTGTTGTAGGAGTTCTTGATTTCAGGCGGTTCGGGTGAAACAAGTGTCGGGCATCCTTCCCGCGGCAATTGCTGGCGGGCAGCTGCGGTACGAGAGGGAAGCGGCAGCTCAGCGGGCGGGCGTGAGCGACGATTCTCTGCTGCTCAACAAGTACAGCTGGAGACGACGATCGACGAGGAGAACTGCCCGCAAGGGGGCTCACAACCGGAATACACACAAAAATGGCAGAATGGGGGACATGAGAGAGAAAGCTAATGCGAGCAGTAGAATCACGGCGTCCAGCCATAACCAGCAGCCCCCAACCAACCCAACAATCGACGAACACGGGTGCCTTGAAGAAATAGCGCGCTGCACAAGTGCGGTTCCGTCTCCGCTTCTGCACGCAAGTACTCACCCCCTTTCCTCCGGGTCAGTCGACCCTAACCGTTGCAGGTGGTCTTGCCGCATGCGCCGCTCTCGCTGGGCGAAAGCGTTCTCATCGAAAGAGCTGTACTCGTCTTGCCGAAGCTGCCGCCTCGGCGGCTCCGGCTCCGGATCCTCCCACCTCACGCCACCGCCGCCGTTCCTGCCGCCGCGGGCCGTGGCCGCCATTCTTCCGACCTCGCCCGACCTGGCGCCGCCGTCTTGGAATTTCTCCTCCTCGACCCTGTCCTCCTCGTCTTCGTCATCGCTGTACTCGAGGCCGTCTCCAGGGCGGTACTCTGCCCCGTTGCTGCTGCCGACGTTACCGCCATCGAGGCCGTCTCCGGGGCGGTATTCTGCCCCGCTGCCGCCGCCGCTGTCGCCGTTGCCGACGCCGCTGCTACTCCTCCCCCACGGGGCGGGCGAGGAGGAGGAGCCGCCACCCCGGTCTTGCTTCGACGTGCTGGCGCCTTCGGCACCGCTGGCCAGGATCGGGGAGGAGACCCATCCGCGCCAGGAAGAAAACTCCACCGCAGCAGGGGCGCCGCCGTTGCCGGCGCCGCCGCCACCGGCGCCGCCGCCGGAGGCTGAAACGTGTACCCCCGTCGACGAACGGCCAGCTCCGGCGGCGACGGACACGGGCGACACCCCCCCGCCCCCCTTGGTCGACGAGGAACCGCTGCCCGCCGCGGACAGGGCGCCGTCGTCGTCGTACTGTCCCGCGCTGCTGCCGAAGATGAGGAACGGCTTCGACGGCGGCCCGGCTTCCGCCGCCCCCGCCCCCGCCCCCGCCGCCGCCGCCGCCTCCGTCGTCGGGGGGACGTGGCTTCCCGCTGCGGACAAGGCGCCGTCATCGTCATCCTGTCCCGTGCTGCTGCCGATGCTGAGGAACGGCTTCGACGGCGGCCCGGCTTCCGCCGCCCCCGCCCCCGCCGCCGCCGCCTCCGTCGTCGGGGGGACGTGGCTTCCCGCCGCGGACAGGGCGCCGTCATCGTCATCCTGTCCCGTGCTGCTGCCGATGCGGAGGAACGGCGTGGACGGCGGCCCTGCCGCTGCTGCCCTCGTCGCCGCCGCCGCCGCCTCCGTCGTCCGGGCCATGTGGCTGCCCGCCGCAGACAAGGCGCCGTCATAA